AAAAAAAAAAAAGGAAAAATGCAAGAACAATAAGTTAATGAAAGGAAATTACAACATAAACTCACCTGCTTTAGAAGAATTGATAGGCCGCTTTTTATCATCTTTATAATCCACAGTCCTCACCTTCTTTACATTTTGTTCCTTCAACATTCCGAGTTTTTCTTTCTGGCACTTTCCGAAGCGCAACACAATAGGCACTGAGCTACTAGTCTCCTTCTTCATGCTATCCTCAGGGACTGAAAAACCTAGACCCTCATTGCCCAAGTTCTTGTGCTGGCTAAGAGACCTTACCTCATGAACATCAGTGCCTTCAACAGGGCTTCTAACACCAGATGAATCTACTGCTGGAGTAGGCAAGGCCTTATTATTCTCCTTCAGCAAAGAGAACAGTACCCCAGCACCACTATCAGCTTGATTGCCATTTTCTCTACCACTTATCTTATCCAACTCCTTCTCCACCTTTTCCTCAACTGTACCATGATTCAAATGCTGAAATTCACTATACCTGAAATTAAACTTCTTGGGAACATAACCAGTACTCTTCCACAACTCGGGACCAAAGATCGAAGACATCCCATTCCCTGAAAACAGTCCAGGTTCACCGCCCGGCACACCCTGAACATGACCCCTATCCTCCAAGGGCATACCGGTCCAAAGTTTGAAAGGCCTACGTGGGGCCACACTTGCTGGACTGGGATTATCCATCCTCAGTGTTTTTGTGGGCAACTCAACCAAAAATTCAGCCACCTCTGTCTCCTCACTGTCATCTGGAACACCGACACTGTTCTTGCTTTTGCATTTGTCGCAAGCAAAAGATTTCTCACTCTTGACAAAGTGAAAACACCTTGTGTGAACCCAAACTCCGCACTCATCGCAATCCACCATCTCCTCACCGTCATCGTAATTGACACCGCAAACACAGTCCACTGTCCACGACCCGTTAACCCAGTCCTCGTGGTGGGGCTCCGACACCGGGAGCCGATGGGACCGGCTTTTCATTACGCCCTAAGCCTATGTTCCTAAAGAGTTTATCAATCGAACCCTAATTTTTTTAGCAAATATTACATCCGCAAAGCGGTGAAATCCTCACACGGCCTTCCATCAAAAGCATAAATTAGACCTAAAATCGGATGGGGAAAACGTTACGTACCTTTTGCAGCGATAATTAGAACTGAAAAGTGGTTGATTTGGCTGATTTGGTTGAGAGAATGAGAAGGGAAGCCATGGCGTAATGAAATTGGGTTTTGGGGGTGAAGTGGCGCTCGGACGTCAACAATGGGTAACTTTAGCATGGCACTAAAATATCATTACCCCGACTTGGGCGGGGGCACCCGAGCATCCAACAAGCAACCTAGGTAGAAAGTTAAAACTAGCCGACAATGATTAAAATATCGTATTGTACTTGCCGGTAATACCATATAATGACCATTAGTATGGTACATCATACAATAATATCATATTTATGGTTACACGAATTTGTATCAGAAATATACTGTATATATCGGAATATACTGGTCAACAAATAAAATAAATAGATAAATAAAGTTTATTAATTTAAAAACATAAAATAAAAATTGGTAGTTAAAGTGTTTTACTTTTCTCTCATTGAGAAGTTTAAATTAATGATTGTGGTCATTTATTTTTTTTACTTTTTATATTTGGTATTGTATAAAACATTTATGTATATCAGTATATTTGATAGTCTGATATGACCACCAATATGTAATAACGCATATCGGTGGCTAAACCAGTATGACCACCGATACGGTATCTAAAATGTTGCTAGATGATAACTAATTTTCGAGTTTATAGCTTATAGTTTATGACTTATAGTTCAAAACTAACTTATATGATAAAACTGTTTGGTAAAATTAGCTGATAAGCTAGCTGAAATAAAATTTTTAACAAACTTATTTGAAAAGCTACCCAAAAATATTTATGAGATTAATTTAGGCTTTTTAGAAAGTTCGTCCTACCAAACGAAACTTATTTGAATCATTGTTCGAAAAGTCAGCCTAGGCGGCGCCTAGACGCTAGGCGGCGGTGCGCCGCCTACGATTTGCTAAAATCGGCCATAAGAATCGGCCATGCGGGCTAGTCGGGCCTAGGCGGAGCTGGGCGGCCTCGGCGGCTACGCGATTTCGGCGGATTCTAGGCGGCTTTTACAGTTTTTTTTTTTTTTTTTTTTTT